ATGCTCCCCTTCGTCAGTTAGTGAGTCATGTTTGTGAGGCTTTCCCCAGTTGCCTTTGAATCTACTCCTTCCTTGATAGTGGAAAGGTTTTTCATCCTTTCCCTGATTTTGCTATTCATGCTGGAAGGTTTACCACTCAGTTACATGAAGGGATAGCTGTGCCTTGCCCCCACCTTTGTCAGAACAGCATGCTTTGGCTTACCACTGCCAGGAGGATGTGTATTTAGATTCCAAAAGACTTGATCCACTTTTGGACATGTGGAGTTCCAGCCTGTGACCACCTTGAACAGATCAGAATTTTCTTGGATTTGTTTGACCCTCACTACTGTTCTGAGATATTTGTCTTCCCTCCAAATTTTATCAGAAGCCTCTCAGCATTCCCCACGTCAACTTAATGACGAATTGGGTCCTATGCTGGCTTCTACCTTGATAAGATTGTCAGCTTCTGCTCTTTCTTTGTTTTCCTGGCTTATATGTTGTTGGGACTTATTGGATAGAGAAGCCTTGTTGGAGGGAGTTTGTCTACCTGCTGCCACTTTCCGTGAGTTTTCCTTTTCTTCATCCCTTGATGTTTACGAGCATTCTAGAGGCATTGGAATCATGGATTAATGCTGCCCATTTGTATTATTCCATGTTGTTGTTGGCCTCTCAACTTTCTTTGGCTCTTGCTGGAAGTCAGGGTGCAACTGCTCGTCGTGTGTCCCAACCCTCGACTCCAGTTCCTTGATCGATTGGTACCCAGAATACATTCTGTTCTTATCCTAGAGGCTTCTCTACTCAGGAAGACTGTTGTCAATGGCATCAGTGACTACCTTATGACAGTGGTTACATTTTCTGGACATCTGAAATTCCTTCACCACAAATCCATGGATACTCCAGGTTCTGGCATCGGGGTTGGTCATTTAGTTCACATCTCTACCACCATTATCCTCCCAACCTGTGGTATTTCCACCCCCAACATACCCGTGCAGTGTGGATCTTCATTCCAGGGCTATAAAAGAGTTGTTGGTCAAGGGGACTGTTGAGAGAGTCGATCCCATTCTTCTGGAATTTTATTCCCATTTATTTGTTGAGCCAAAGAAGAAAGGAGTTTGGTGTCTGATCATCAATCTTTCTCATCTCAACCAATCCTTAGATTTTCCCAGGTTGATGATGGAGTCTTTCTCAACATACATTGGCATTTTCCCCCAGGTCTGTGAATGACCAAGTTTGATGTTGCTGATTCCTATTTTCACATTCCCATAGTGAAATCATCCTGCTGCTATCTGTGCATTAGGGTCAGGTTTTGCAGTTCAGGGCTCTGCCATTTGTCCTAACATATGCACCATATGTCTTCTGCAGAGTCATATGAGCTTTTTCTCATCACCTTCATTCTTTGGGCATGTGCACACACCATTATGTTGATGACTGGTTACTTCTAGCAGCAACTCATCAGTTAATGAAATTACACATCCAGATTTTCTTTTCAGAAGGCACCAAAGATGGCTTTCTTATCATTCTCTTGCTGACTCAATACATTGTCCATCCAGGTGTCTCTTTCAAGATATTTAAATTGGGCTCAGCTGACTCCCATCTGGCTCTTACATCTACTTTTCCTACTGAGAGAATGGTTCTCTCCCTTTTGGGGATGTGGGCATCCCTCAAATCTCTAATTCCTTTGGGACAAGCAAACATGCGATCCCTTCAATCATCGCTGCACGATCAATCAGTCATCATCCAGTCAGAAGAATCATCTTAGATCTTGAGAGGTGGTTGAATCGGAACAGCACTACAATAGGTGTTCCTATACTGCTCCCTCATCCCGAGAGTCATCTCTTCACAGATGCTTCACTTCAGGGATGGGATACTTATGTTAATGGTCAGGAATTCCAGAGTATATGGACAGACGATCAATCTTCTTTCCATTTCAGTATTTTAGAACTTCTTGCTGTCCAATAGGCAATGGTTCAAGGTCTAGCTTTATTGAAGGGAAAAATCATTCAGACAATTCCATGGTGGTATCTGACATTTACTGTCAAGGAGGCATGCATTCTTGGGACCTTTTCTTTTGAACTTTAAATCTTCTCTACTGGGCTCACTCCTATAATATCAACCTTCTAGCTTGCCATGTTTTGGAGGTGATTAATTTAGAAGAAGATCCTCTGTTTCAGCCAACCAAATTGTCCCGACTGAATAGATGCTATATCGTGAGGTTTTCCAATGGCCTTACTGTCAGTTTGGAACTCCAACAATTGATGCATTCACCACACATTGAAACTCTCAACTACAAGCATTTTGGTCCCCAGTACCTCATCCTTGGGCCTTGGCAATAGATGCCTTTAGTCAAGACTAGACAAGATTGCACCTCTGAGCCTTCTCCCTGGTTCATCTGTTGCCCAAAGTTCAGGGTCTGGTTCAGTCCACTCCTTTTTGAGTGTTGTTGGTAGCCCCGGGTTGGCTGGCCCAACTATGGTTTCATCTTCTTCAGTATCTTCAAGAGTGTCCACTGCTGCCACTTCCTCTTTAGCCATCTCTGTTGAGGCAACCTTGATCTGACATTCTACACCTTGACATTCTGAAGTTGAAACTTCATGCATGGAAATTATGTGATCCTTCGGGGTTTAACTTCTAAGGTTACCTTGTATTGTCTCAATGTCTCTATAGTCCCACAATAGCCATTTATCAATGGAAATGGCATACTTATCGCCAATGGTGTTTCACGAGGAAATTAAACTCAATTCACCCAAATGTGCCCACCATATCACATTTTTTGACCTGACATTTTGACAAAGATCTCTCTCTCCATCTACTGTCACCTTATATAAGGCGGCCTTATTAACTACTTTTGTTATTCTTAATATTGGAAAGTATTTGAGTCCATAGTACTATCTGGCCTTCTCAAATCATTTCATGTCCTTGATCTGAAAAGGCATTTTCAATTACCTAACTTCTTTTGCGGTGCTAGAAATCAACTTTTTATTCATTGATTTATCTCTGATTACCTTGACGAGTTGGCTTCACAAATTGATCCATATTGCTTATTCTGGACTATCTTTACAGACGAGAAAACTTCTGCGAGTCACATCTCATTAGGTTCTTCATATTTCTATATCTTTAGTTGATCACCAGAGAACATCCTGTGGGCTGGTATGTGGACTTCTCCCAATATTTTTCTCTCACATCATTTATGCAATCTGGCAGTTTTTCTTCTGAGGGTTTTTGCCTACCTCTGTGGCCATTTTAACCACATCTGATAGGTTATAAGGAATGGTGAGTATTTTTTTTATTTCTCTTGTCTCTTTACTCGTAATACCAGTTCAGATTTGATGCATGGCTATCCGGCTGGGGGTGTGGATGGTCCTTCTTTTTTATCACTATTGGTTCAGTACCATTGTTCATGGAAGGAGGTCCACTATCTTCTCGTAATTCCAAACACAGAGTGGCTCCATCATGGATCCTTGGTTAAGTACAGTCGTTCCACATTCTCCCCATAATTTTGGGGGCAAGTGGAATGCTCCTTGCCCACTCATTTGGACAGTGGGGATGTAGGTTCATAATTCCAGACCAGATGAGTTCCTTTCTTTTGGTTGAGTATGGCATATCTGATTCCTCATTCCAAGCCTGATGTGTGGCCTTCTGGGCTTCTTCAGGTTGAGGAGAAGGTTGGGGAGTGAGGATGTAGGTTCATAATTCCAGACCAGATGAGTTCTGTTCCTTTGGTTGAGTACAGCATTTGTGATCCTGTCATTCTTATCCTGGGATGTTGCCTTTCAGGGTTTTTCTGGTTGAGGAGAAGGTTTGTAATTCCAATGATTTGGAACACATCACTCTGTGGCTACAGGTTGGAATTCAATCAATGGTATATATATATATGTGTGTGTGTAATGTTGGGATCCATTTGCCATAGCCATCAAATTGAGATATAGGGACCAAAACCCATTAATTCCAATCCCAAGTAGTCTAGTTGGCTGTCTAGTTGGTTCCGGCCTATAGTGGTGATCATTCATGTACAATTCCACCCTTGATACCTGCTTTGGATGTAGTGCAGTTCCTCCACTTTGCTACCTATCTTATTGTGGTACACACATGATCTATACAAACTGTTCTGGATGTAGTATGGTTCCCCCACTTTGGTACCTATATTATCTTGGTACACCTGTGATCTGTGCAGACACTTTCTGTATGGATAATTCCCTCACCGGCCCTTCTACCTTCTCAGTGTGGGATTCTAGCTATAAGTTAACATTTTCTTAAATTTAAAATTTATTTTCAATAATACATACCTCTGCTGACACTCTCTCACTAAGAGCCGGTGTTAGTGACTGGGATGGTGTCAGTCTCGAAAAAGTGATAACAATATCTGAATGAGGTGCTTATATACTGTACCAGGATAGAGTGCGTATTCACGTAGGTGGAGAGTATCATGAGACAAATATTGCCAAGGGCATTTGAATAGGGTATAAAAGACTGGAGAAGATGAGAAAAAATCATACCAATGCTTAGATGGGCAAAGAAGAAACCCTGGAGGTCGAGTAATAACTGTAAGTGTCAGCAGAGGTAAGTAATATTGGAAATACTTTTTCAATTTAGGAAAATGTTAAATTCTGGTGCATCTATTCTTGCCTAATCTGGAAATGATGACTGAATAATTATTATAGAGGAGTCAGCTGTGCTAGGAGGGTGTGTCACACTCCTGTTAGTAAAAGGTTGTTGCTTGTTCATTTGTATGCTATAGTGCAGCAGTAACATGTTGGAAACATGTGAGTATAGGTGGGAGCCTCAAGGCTAGTGGTGAGTAAAAAATTTAGCATATAGAGGGCAACAGAAAATCAGGAAAAGCTAATACACTAGTCGAGGTATTTAAGTATCAGAAATACTTTTTCAATGTTGGAAAATGTTAACATTTTTAAGAGCAGTGTAAAACATATTATAGAGATACTATATTGTTTTTTATGTTTTCTTTTTTAATCCATGCATGGTATTTTTCTTTGTTCAAAATTATCTTGTTGGTTTCTTTTCAGCATGATTGAGCCCTGTACAAGGTTAGAAGGCTTTTATGTTGGTTTCTTCCTAGAAAAATACAGAGTAATAATTTGTATCTTATTAAAGTTCTTTGTTAGTTTTTACTACTCTTTACAGTTGTGTGTAGTTATTTAGAACTGTATATATAAGACTGTAGTAGAATAGTTAGGTACAGTTAGTCCTCTTTATGTAATTCCATGACTAAAAAAATGCATAATGTCTTTTTGTTAAAAATGTTAGAAAATGGCTAATTACTCATATGTAAACATTATGTTTAAGATAATTGGATGTAACTTACTGGTTTAGCTTCTTTTAGCAAAGTATGTCTGTATGCTACATGCCTACAAGTTTAGTTTTTTCATATTCATACACCCTTTGAAACTGTGCTGTTACCTAATGCTTCTATATGTATTAGTATTTTGTATGGAATACTTATAATTTTAAAAGATCGTGCTTATATTGTTATAAACTGGGTTTTAATGGTTTGTGTGTGTGTGTGTGTGTGTAAATTAGGTGTTGATTGGTAAATATTTTTCAGAGTTTTTTAAATGATTATTTATTTTGTGAAATACACTTGTAATTCTTTAGTTATTCTATTGAACAAAACTTGTACTAAATTGTGTGCTTTGGCATTCTTTCTATACATTGAACCTAAAATTTACTACACTAAATTATTTTCCTTACTGTCAATATCCTAACTTTTATTGGCCATCAAATAATGATTCTAAAGTTCTGTTATTATTGTTTTGGATACTCAGCTTTCAGGCTCCATTTTTACTTGTCATTTTGACTTGTTCACAATATATTGAAAAATAATACATACAGTTGTCTCTTGATTAATTTTTTTTTACTACACTGTAATTAACTTTTATGGGCATGGTTTTAGATTTGCCTTCACATTTTTTGATATAACAAAAATTTCAAAAGTCATAAAAAAATTTTGCCCCCCAGAGATCACCAGTAACTGACATAGCTTTTCCCTCCTCCTGTCACCTTGACAAGCAAAGCAACAACTGCTTCTTGGCGAGTACAGTACTTTACATTTTTGTATTTTATTAATAAAAATCTCTTTTTATTTCAGGTTTTTGTTTGTGTTAATTGTAACAGTTTTTTTGTATGTCATAGTGGAAGAATGTGTTGTGTTGGTGTGGAACCAAAACTTTGGGTTCGGGAATGCATCTCCTATTTTTTACCTCTCAACTAATGGGAAAAGCATTTTCAATTTATGTTTTTTAATCATACATTATGTTCTCCAAGAATGTATCCCATTCATAAATCGAAGGAAACCTGTATAATTTCCTATAATTGCCAGCATTAGTGATATCAACAGTGTTAAACAATGACCTATATAATATATATCAGAAATAAAGAAGTGACATTTATATTTTATAGAAGATATTATATATTTGATGTCATTCTTAGCCACTTATTAATGAACTTATGAATTATCTTAACCAGTGGTGGTTCACTAGAGGAGGAAGAAGAGGCTGTGCCTCATTGAAGATTTTAACAAAAAAAAACATTTCTTATTTTTCATATGAATACCTATATTATATTTGTTTTGTGAATAATATTCTTGAAAAACTGCATGTTTTGTAGCAAAATGCTCATACATCTTTTTGCCCCACTCTTTGCTGTTTACTGAGGTAACACCTTGTGGTGTGAAGCAGAGTGTACCTTTCATCTTTTTTTTTTTTATGTGTAAAATTTCTCTTTGGTGGGACAGAAACATCTGAGTCTTCTTATTGAGTCTAACTAGGATTTTGAGGCCAACTGCACAGCCAACTGAACAAATTAGAATTTAGGTCTTGAAAACAACCAGTGAATATCATTATAAGAAAAGTTAGCAACCACAAAGAACATGCAAGGTCACAGTGATCAAGGACTGATATAAATTTAATGGTTCTGAGATTATTCAGTGTTTTTAAGGATATAAAGAATTAAAATTGAGTTGCATTAAAATATTTGCTTTGACTTGGTTAAAACGCGCAATGATTTATCTTGATTAAGAGGTTATTTTAGAGTTTTACAATTCAAACAATAGTTGAGCGTTGTATGGCATGATGGTGTCACCAATGTGTTTACAGCTATGGAAGACTGCTGATTGGAACTAACTTATAAGTTGAAATGCCTAAAGTAAGTACATGTTTTACTGTTCTCTATATTTTGATGAAGCGTTAACATATTGCCAGCTTCCTCTTCAGTTCCAACTGTGAGCTGCTACTGATCTTGACAGTTTGGTATATTTGTTTCTGAAGATTTATGTATTATTTTACAAGATACTGACATGAGTGGAAATGTATTTTAGCTTCTCTTTTTTCAATATAGATCTGTTAGATGTGATTAGATCTCAGTATTATCTAACACAGCGTTTCTCAACCATGGTTCTGTGGAACCCTCAAGCTCTTTGACAGACATCAAGGAGTTCCACAGAGTTTCACGGAATGCAAGCGTTCCACATATTCTAATGCATAAGTGCATGCTAGTCACATAATTACAATCCAACTACATCATATTTCTTTATTAGTAACAACAAAACACTGCAGTGTTTTAAATTAGTGAGCAAGACTAGATACAAACAGGTGCTTGAGTCATGTAAATTTTTATTATTTCAGAGACATCATTAGAAATATGTACTCTGGAATTAATGATATAGTATCGTAGTAACGTTTTTTGTAATGAATGCTGTGAAGTATTCTGTGACACAAATTTGTTACTAGAAGAGTTATGTGGATTTAAAAATGTTGAGAACCACTGATCTAACACATCCCAATTAGATCAAAACCATAACTGACAGTCACATCTAATGAGAAAGCATCAAGACCTCTTCACCACATCATGACTGCTTGATGTGTAAAGAGATATAAAAAGAGAAGAAAAAAATGCTTTTATTAACTATATTGATTTATCTAAATATAAGAAAACTAAACAGATACAAATTACTCATTCAATTTCTTCTAATCTGGATGAATTTATTGTTATCAGTAACTACTCAAAAGTCACTAAATTAGTCATTTTGACATATTTACAGGTAAAACTCTGGGATAACTGATTAACTTGGTATATCTGTATTTGTACACACACCACTGAATCTCTGTGACAGATAAATTCCATTTTAATAATCATGTTCCCAAAGATTACAGTTTGAAGCTTTGTACTGTCAGTTATAGTTTGTGTTTTTGTGGAATGCTACTGAAGCAATTGTAAAGCGAAACGATGAGTGTTAAAATATAGAAGAGTAACAAATTTTGGTGTTTTAAGGTCATTTAGTGGTCATTTTAAGGTCATTAATGTGTAGTATTAAGATGTCTTTTATGTACCGATATGCAATACAGAAATTAAATAATTCATGTACTGTTTGAATACAAGGTTTTTCCATTGTGTAGAAATTGACTAGTTTGGTAAACAAAGACAGGACACATTTTAGGAATAGGCAGAATAACTTTTGCTCTTTCTTCTCTCACATTTTTCCCCCTTTTTTGTTCCTGAACATTACTGCTTACCTCTGCATCCTTATCAGTGATATCTTTCTTTTTTAAATTCTTTATTCCGTTGAATTTAGTTCTTTTTTTATTATTTTCTATCATTTGATTATTCCAAGCTACTTATTTTGTATACTGTATGGCAAATTCTTGCTAGTGATCCTCTGTGCCTCGATTTTGATTTCACTGACTCTCTTGGAAATGGAAAAACTATAATTTGTCTTGCTACCTGGTATATTAAGAAATTCTGTGTGTCTTGGTACTATTCCTGGCTTCTGCAATGCTTATATGGACCTCATGACTGTAGTGGCTTACCTTTCAGCAGTTTAATGACACTCTTAATTGATTATGCTCTTTCTTCTCCATTTACTTTACACTTTTGCTACATTTTTTGACATTAAATTTTTAATAACTTATGAGAATAACCACTGCTGCTACTTTCTGTCAATGCATCTTCTGGGTAATTTCATCTTGTACAAGTATGGTTCAAAATCTGACTTCCATATCCTGCAGATGCTTAAATGTTTTAAGTTCCTTTTTATCATTTTGATCTCTTGTGTAAGTAGTGGTAAGTGTTATTAAGAAGTTCTTTAATGATGACAGGTATAACACGGGCTTCTTATTCCACAGCAAAATGGATCAAATGAATGGGACATCCTGAAAACATAGGCATGTATAAAATTACATTTATGTGGAGGAGTTGTGGGTACAGACTACAGAATAAGCATTCAAAGAAAGTTAATTAAGATAGCTATTCATGTTTTTCATAACAGAACTAACCATTAACTTTAAGGGAATATGCATGAATGGAAAACTAGAAAGGAGAAAGGAAACTAAAGGCCCACAGAAACAATTAAATGGTCAGACTACAGAGAGATTAATATTTATATACATATACACCAAAAGCATAAATACAATATTGGTGGTGAAAATCAGACAGATATATGAATGTCTTACATGTGAAAATAGGTGTTCATTTTCCTTCTTTATGAAAGTAGAAGCTCATTTGTGTACTGCACTTGTGCTTTATCAGGAGCAAGACTTGGACAGTCAACCCATTATATCTGCCACTTCCAAGTTTATCATTCGTAAGGTTGAAATTAGATAACAGAAGTGTAAACAGCATATCAACAATCAACTAATAAAACCAAAATAACCAAATCAGTAGAAACAAAATAAGCCAGATTAAGTTTGACAAATGAAATGAATATTTTTCATGCTATTCAACAAAATACAGGGTGATAATAAAACAAAATATCTGAGTTCTGCCCCAACAGCTGGTTGAAAGTCTTCTACTGCACAAAATCCATTTTGCTAGAAGTTATGAAAAATTGGCTGACACTTGTGACAAAGGAGTTTCCAACCAAAGAATTTCTGTTGCAGCCTACATGATGGAGAAAAGAATGATAGTGAGAAAAGTAGTTAGAAATGTCATGATGGAGTGTAGCTTTTGCATGACAGGAATTAGAATTTGTCACCACCTAGTAGATTTATATTGTCACTTTAATTATTCACTCAGTGCTTTCAAATATGGTAAG